TCCCAGTCTGTTTGAGCTTGTTGTGGCAGCGCCCGGCCTTGAGATTTGATAAGGCTGCTCTGGCTGCTTCCCTTTGATCCTTGCCACCCCCAGCTGCCCGCTCCCATTTTCCTTTTTTAGGAAGTGGCTTCTTGGGTATCATTCTTGGCGCACGTCCAACGCCATCTATTCTGAGACCACAAAGCTTTCTGAATGTAAGAATTCACCTCGACAGCATAGCTCACTGTCAGAGGGGAGTTGTGGGAGGAGAGAGAGAGAGAGAGAGAGGGAGAGAGAGAGAGAGAGAAAGAAAGAAAGAAAGAAAGAAAGAAAGAAAGAGAACAATGCACTTCTGCATCCACAGAGGCCGCCCTGCAGCTGTGGGCTTTCAGGTGTGCCCAGGTGGCAGCTCCCCATGCTTGGAGGCTTGGCACCTGTGCGCCAAACAGGTGCCGTATCTAGTCATCTCTGCACCCAGGGCTGGCTCCCATTTCTCTGTCCGCTGATGCCCAGAAGCAGCACGAGGATTTGAGTATGGTTGTTGTGCTCCGAAGATCCTGCTGCTGCCACTTCAATTTCTTGACCAGCTGGGCTGATCTTGTTGGTTTGGGCAATGTGCACGTTTACGTTTGTCCTCGTATCTTTTAGGGGTGTCTGTTCTTCTTTCTGCTGTTCGTCGATAAATCACTTGATAGAGGGAATCCTTGGAAAGGATTTTAACCGGTGCTGTCACCTGGCTAGGGAAATCGGTCAGTTTGATTGCATGAGCTTTTAAGTTGACTCTGGGGGCCAGAAAGGAGGATTACAATAATGTGCTGGAGTAATAAGGTTCAGGAGAATCTGAACCCACTTGTGTCGCTTGGAACTCTTGTGATATTAATTTATTGCATTTGATTTGGGTATGGAAATCAGTTCCTATATGTTTAGTTCTAGATATATATTTATAAGGAGGATTAGACAAATTTGTGGTGGATAAGGCTACTTGCTACGATGGCTCTGCTTTGCCTCCACGACCGGAGGCAGCAGTGCTTCTGTGTACCAGTTGCTGGAAACCACAGGAGGGGAGAGTTGCTCTTGTGCCTGGGACCTGTTTGATCCCTGGCATCTCCAGGTAGGTTTGGAAAACCTTCTCTCTCTTTGGTGATCCCTCGTAGCCGAACAAGATTGTCTTCCATGAACACGGCCTTAACAGTGAGTCTGTAAGTGACTGTGGAGGCCAATTCTGGACCCACACGTCCTTCCACAGTGGGGACATTGGTTTCCGGGGGGAGTTGATCATGGTGAGGGTTTGCCAAGCGTGCCTTCCTCTTAGCACGTTTCTGCCTTTCGTCCTGAGTTTGAGCGTCTTCAAAGCCCACAACACCTTTGGTATAGGCTGTTCTCCAATCGGAGCGCTCGCAGGCCAGTGTTTCCCAGTTGTCGGTGTTTATACTACATTTTTAAAGATTTGCTTTGAGAGAGTCTTTAAAAACCTCTTTTGTTGACCACCAGCATTACGCTTTCCATTTTTAAGTTCAGAATAGAGTAGTTGCTTTGGAAGATGATCATCAGGCATCCGCACAACATGACCAGTCCAATGAAGTTGATGTTGAAAAATCATTGCTTCGACACTGGTGATCTTTGCTTCTTCCAGTACACTGGCATTAGTTCGCCTGTCTTCCCAAGCGATGCGTAAAACTTTTTGGAGACGCCGTTGATGGAATCTTTCGAGGAGTTGGAGATGGGGTTTATAAGTGGTCCACATTTCACAAGCAGACGGTAAGGTTTGGAAAATACTCCCTGCCTGGCAAGATGGTGCTTGTCCACGTGGGAAGGTAGCCCAACTAGGAGAAAGAAAACTCTGATCCTAAACCTCTGCTGCCTTGCAGGACATCTTTGGGAGAAGAAAAGGCTAAGGAGTGAGCCCTACACAAATCTGGAGTCCCTAAGGCGGTTGGATGGCACCTTGTATGCCTCCCTCTGGCAACTCCAAGCTGGTGCTAAACAAATGGCTGTGCTTTTCTTTGGAGGCCGTGAGGGGGGGGGACTCTTGTCAGCTGGGCAGCCCAAGACCTCCAGACACACGGCCCAGGCTTGCGCCCCAAGGAGGCCACTTTGTGGGTGCTGCAAACACAGCTGTTTGACTTCACCTCCGGAGGTGCACTCCATTGTCTCTCGAGACAGATGGGTGCCAACAAAAGCTGGGTACTTTTGTGGTCATATTTGCAAGTCTGGATTAGGACATACAGTGGACGCTTGGGTTGCAAACGTGATCCGTGCAGGATGCACGTTCACAACCCACAGCATCCGCAATCCGCAGTGGCACGCCTGTGCACGCACGGGTTGCGATTTGACGTTTCTGTGCATGCGCAAAGCGCGACCGCTGAAACCCAGAAGTAACCCGTTCTGGTACTTCCGGGTTTTGGTGTTCTGCAACCCGAAAAAACACAACCTGAAGCATCTGTAACCCGAGGTGTGACTGTATCTTCAGTTTTAGGGCTTGTAGTTGCTGGAGATGATGTGATCGCGTTCTCCTCCTTACCCAGTAAAGACAAATAGTCCCTGCGTATAGAAAACTACTGTATTAAGGGAGAAGGCTGGGCTCGAAGTTTTGTCCCTGACATGCTACATGTCTCTATGCAGCAGACATTTTGGTACAAAGAACCTTCCCCCTGATACTCATAAACATGAGTTTGTTGAATATGTTTAATGAATCCGGCATATTTATCATAGTATATGGCCATCTGTCAAGGATTCTTTTGTTGTGATTCCTGCATTGCGGGGGGCTGGACTAGAGGACCCCGGGGTCCCTTCCAACTCTACAACTCTGTGATTCTACATCTCTGTTTTTGTTCTGTCTGTATATTGATATTTGTCCTTTACTCTTCCCGTGAGCTGCTTTGAGAGCGGTTATGCATATAAGTAAAAGGACAATAGTGAAAATGAAATGGAAGCCACCCCTTGAAAGCATGCTATAGGTATAGAAGAAGGACCAGGCCTTGGGTGCTGGCGCTTCCTGGCTCCTGTCATCTCTGTATTTCCCAGCAAGTTTTATGGTGTCTTTTGGCCATTGTTATTCTGTGTGCATTAATCCCGAGTAACAGCACAGCTGGGTTCTGTCCTTGCAGTCACAGAGTCGGATTTGAGAGAGTCCTCATTCCACACCCTGCCAGGCGCCGCGACAGAGTAGAAATAAACCACCTCCTTGCCTTGCGTTAAGGTGGGCATGGAATTTAAAGAGTGGCGAGCGTACCTTTTCTGGAGACCGTTGAACAGAACTGCCCGCGACTATCCCATCGGTGGCTTAGGGGTGGGCAAGGACAGCTCCCCACATAACAGGGCGAGGACCAGTATGGGCGGCAGTATTTCCAGTTAAGGTGTGGACACCCTGCACTTGCGGCCCTGTGGTCATATATCCACCTCCAAACCTCTGGGGGCTCACCTTTTTTTTTGAGCCAAGGAGCCGCTGTACCTCCCCGTTGCCCACAAACTGGGGGTGGAAAAGTCGTCTCCCCCACAACCCGACCTTCTGATGGCTCCTGTTGCAGCGGAGTGAGCTGCTCTCAGAGGAGGAGGCTGCCCGCCGTGTCCCTGCATGAGCAGCTCCTCTGAACGTGCCTCTTTTCTGAGCAGGCAGTTTCCCCTTTCTGCTGCGTTTCCCGAGAGCCCCCCTTTTGTAGAGCTGCCCACATTCCCAGGATTGATTTTGGGGGGAGAAGGAACGGGCAGCCAGCTCTCCTGGGGTTTGAAAAGTGCACAGTTCAAGGATCAAACCCTGGGCAAGGGCAAAAGGGTCCTGGGCCCCCTCAATTGATTCCGTGGCCTCGGCTTAAGGCTCCGGTTGTCCCCGCATCCTTCCCTTCCCGCGCAGAGACAGCCATGACCCGCGCTTCTCCCCTCCGGCAATCAATGCCAAATATTTTAACTTGCTCTGTGTGTGCGTGGGCTCCCTCCTTCCTCCCTCCCCGGTTTCCCAGCATGCCTTATCTTTCCCCTCCTGCTGTGTGTCCTATTGCCTCCCTATGTGGCTATCATCATATAGGGCTTGCTGCCTAAGCCAGCTTTAAATGATTTCTCCCTCCACCCCTTTTGGTAAACATGTGTGCGGGGCTTAGCTGCAGCAGCCCTTTTCTCTGCAATTACAGCCCTGCTGGCGCAGTCCTTTCTCTCCGTGCATTAATTCCACTTCCAGAGTCCAGGGGAGGGGAGATTTATGGTGGTCTACTTTCCCCCCCTTTTTCCAATGCAGCAAAATTAGCGGCGTGGCAGAAAATCAAGGACAGGAGGTATTAGAGTTGTGGAAGTGAGCCAGAGTTGAGGGGCAGTGAATGAAGTGTCAGGGGGGGGGGGCGGGAGCCACAAGCTGAGGCCAGGATCCAAGCAAAGAGGCAAAGGCTGAGAGATTGAGCATCTGTCTTGCATGCAGAAGGACTCTGGTTCGACCCCTGACTTTCTGTGCTTTAGGAGCGGAAGCATTCTCTGTGTATGGGCCTGTCTGTAGCCACACTTGGAACCGCGGCTCTTGCAATAAAGCCACAGGGAGGACTCCTCTGAGAGAGGCCACTTCTTATTTCACAGGTTCTAGGAGGAGGTTGGGGAACCTGTGGCCCTCCAGACGTTGCTGGACTCCAGCTGCTACCATCCCCGACCTCTGAGCTGGGTGGGAATTGGGAGCTGGTAGGCTACAGGTTCCTTGCCCCTGTTACAAAAGCTGAGAAGTCTGCCTAGCATCTTGGAAGGCCAGGAAGCGCTTCTTACATGTATGAGTCCGTAAGTGAGTGTGGAGGCCAATTCTGGATCCACACGTCCTTCCACAGTGGGGACATTGGTTTCTGGGCAGGAGTTGACCACGGTGTGGATTTGCAAGGGAAAGGGATTCCTTTCTGGCTAAGGAAGGGAGATGGGTGGCTGCTTTCGGGAGCATTGGGGGCCCCACGTCACGTAAGGCGGCTGCTCTCCCGTGCTGTGGACTCTGACACCCACCCCAGCTCCCCTTCCTTCCTTCCGCCCTGACCCCCTAACCTCTTCTGTGTCTGGTTTAGCTTTCAGGCCAGCCGACCCGCCTTGAACGTTGTCATTTTCCCTCTCCTGCACGAGGACTTGACGGAGGTCATCCGGGACGTTCCCATGATGCACTTGGACGAAATCACCTTGTTCAAAAGCCGGGTGGCTGAGGAGCCGCCCAACCTGTGGGGGTGATGGCGGCGCCGGCGCAGCGGAGTGAGAGGCTCGGCATGAGCGCAAAACAGCTGCTGCTGCTGCTTCTCCTTGGCCAGGCAATCCGGCCCTTGAGCCTCGCGGGGCCACCCTATTCCAGTGTTCTGCAACTCAGATGCCGCTTCGAGGGCAAGCTTGCCAGGGTGCCAGGCAGGCCTTGCGTATCCCGTTTGGGCAAAATTTGCCCCCGAAGAAAAATCTTAATATTTATTGGTTTTAATTAACAGCCCGCCCCACCCCTGAGGGACTCAGGGTGGGCCACAATGAGCTGGTGATTCCTTGCTATTTAATACATGAATTCTCATGCAGCTTTAAATGTAGTTAAAGGGGAGAGGAATTTAACTTGAAAGAATGTGCTCCCTTTTCTTCCTCCTCCCGTTACTTATTCTCGGAGACGGTTGGCTCTTGTGTTTTTTTTTTTGGGGGGGGTCTTCTTCACTCGAATGTCTTAAGGGACTTTGTAGGTTGACGCAGAGAGTGGACGTGCCTGAGCTTTTATTTATTGGGGGGGGTGATTTTGGTGTGCATATGTCCTACAGCTGATCCTGCCCTCTTATCTTGAGGGGGGGGGATAGTTTGTGCCGCTAGGACCTGCTGTGCTGGATACAATTCCAGTTTCCAGCTTTTTAGCCAGAGACACCTGGGATGTTTCTACGCTTGCCTGCTGGGGTGCGGCCAGTTGCCAGGCCAGAGCGTCCTCCAAGTTTCGTATGCATCTAAATAAAAATATCCCAGGAAGCTGTTGAGTCACGCAAAATTTACAGGATTTCCGTGTCTTCTGGTAGAAGCTCCCTGCTTCCCCCCTCTAGCTCACTGTTCTGTCTCAAGCATGGCTGCCACGTGGCAGGAAGTTCTCTTGCACAAGCCCCAATGAAATGAACGGGTGCTGTGCAGGAACACTCCCAGGTCACTGCACAGGTCACCCTCATTGAGCTGGGAGCTGCTCTGAAATGCCCACAGTGCAAAGACTTGTGTCGTTCAGCTTTTACAACCTTGTAGCCGTTTACGGCGCTAAAGAAAAGCAAGCACACCTTGTAAGCAGTGGCTGGCATTGAGCTCCAATCCCAAATTGCCGTTGTGAGCATAAACACACACACACACACACACACACACACACACACCTCTCTTTACAGCTCCCCAAATAACCAACCCTTCCTAACAGCTTTTTTGAAAGCAGGCTTTGCCTTTATCAGGCTAGTTCTGCTGGAGGTGCTAACTTGGACTGACACAATTTTATCGAAACCGTGCCAAAATGCTCCTTTGCCAAGGCCCTCTTCGGGGGCTGTGTGGGCATTCAACTGTTTTGCCATGGGGGGGGGTAACCTGGCCCTGGTCCTTCCCTCCATCGTACCGCAGGGCCCTTCCCACTCCCATTTTTGCATTCTCCTAAAACACGAGTGGGGAGCCCGGTGCCCCCTCCAGACGTTGCTGGGACCCCCAGCTCCCCGAGAGCCAGCTTGGTCGCATTGGTCAGGGGGGCGATGGGAGCTGCAAGGCCAGAAACATCTTGGAGGGGGGGCGCAGAGGGTTCCCCACTCCTTTATTAAAAGGCCCTTCGCTTTCCACGTAGGGGGACGACAGCAGCAACGCTGCAGCTTCTCATGGGTGCAGATTTAGGTGTTCTGGAAGCAACGCTGCATTGTTTGCAATGGGGGGCATGGAAGGAGGGGGTAGAAGAAGCCCCCGTCTCCCTCAGTTGCTGTTTCTCAGCTTCTGCTGCTCTTCGCTTGAAGTCGTGGGCCAGCTTGAGTATCCGTAGCAATGTGTCTGTTCCAATGTGATGCTGGTATCTGTGTTAATTGGATCAACAGTGGATTTACCTGTCAAATATGGCATATAAACACTTCTGTACTCACCTTTGCTATCTTAGTATGCTCTTTTTGTGTGTGCGGGGGGGGGGGATGACAAAAAAACTGCCTTCTATCAGACTCACTCTCTCTTTTTTGTCCAGCTTCAAATGTTTTTGACTGCAACTTCCATCAGCCTCAGCCAGCTTAAACCAATCTCCTCTCCTCTGGCACTGAGTCTCCACGGTATGTTTAGCCTGGAGAAGAGGGGACCAAGAGCTGGTGTGAGAGCCATCTTCAAATATCTAAAAAGTTGTCATGCGGAAGATCGATCAAGCTTGTTTTCTCCTGCTCTGGAGGGCGGGACCCGAACCCAGGGCTTCCCGTTACTAGGAAGGAGATTCCGACTCGACATCAGGAAGAAATTTCTGACCGTTAAGAGCTGTTCGACAGTGGAACAAACCCCTTCAGAAGGTGGTGGGCTCTTCTTTTTTATATTTAGAATTTTATTGAGATTATTAGAGTAAGTTTAAGTGAATTGGAAGGAAGAAAAAAATTAGAAAAAGAGGGTGAGGAGAGTACATTAAAAATCAGTTTAAAAAGCAGAGGGAAACAGCAATAACAAAATAACCATATAATATAATTAAGGCTACAAAACTATATAGTATGTAAGTAGATGGATAAACTTCTTGTCTCCCTCAAGCGTATGCTAATCCATGTATCACTATGGTTTAGACAAATACATTCCAAATATCATTAAATTCATTGGAGGCTGTTAAAGAAAGGTGGTGGTGGGGCATCTTTCAAGGATAATTCATCTGTGATTCCTGCATTGCAGGGGGTTGGAATAGAGGACCTCTGGGGTTCCCTCCCAAATCTACGATTCTCTAGGACCTACCCCTCTTTATCTGGAGCTGCTTCCAGGGATTGAGCCAGGAACCCTCTGCAGGCAAAGCAGAGACTCCGCACCTGGAATGATGGAAAGGTGGGGAGAGAAGCCCAACGGCTTTGCCTAGATTCTCGTTTGCATCCTTCTCTGAGGACTGGGGCAGATCTTTGCTGTCCCCTGATGCTGAGGAGCTACAAAGGCCACATCCGCCCCATATAGCCAGAGCCCTGTGATACCGCCATGAAGAGCCAAGCCTTCCCGCAGAGAAGCTGTCGCTTGTTAAGGGCTCTGCCAGTGGTTACGAGTTGCCGCCACCTCTTCCTCTCCCAGAGCTACAATTCCCAGAGCGGTTTCATCACCAGTCCCTCTTCACGGCGGGTGGAATCTGGAACTGCAGCCCTATGCAGGGAAGAAAGGTTTCTCTGCGGCTAAGTGGGGATTCGAACCCTGGTCTCCTCCCAGGCCCGAGTCCGAAGCTCTGGCCATTACGCCACACTGCCCTCTCGCTCCGCAACCCAAGTCCTGCCCACAAATCCTAATGCAAAGCCGGATTTGAGTTGTTGCTGCCGCTGCTCCAGGCAGGATGCAGCAGATGTTAATAATGTGCTTATTTTCTCTCTAAGTGCCATTTTGGCATCGGTGTTAATTACAATTTATATTCGGCAGCGTTTATGTTGGGGAAAAGAAACCCACCTTAATGGTCCCCAACTGACGGGGGTGGGGTGGGCAAAGGGCTGTTAAGCAGAGCTCCATATGTTTGATGGGGTGCCAGGCAGGGAGGTGCGTCCCTGGACCCTCTCTCTCCTTTCGTTCCAAGTTTCATTTCAGCCCAGAGCAACTCTGGAGGTTTCTATGCAGAGGTTGGGTGGCCATCTGACACATTCGTTGCAATTCCTGCATTGCAGGGGGCGGGACTAGATGACCGCTGGGGGTCCCGCTCAACTTTACAATTCTGTAACCTCCTCCCCTTCATCCGCCGACGCTCAGCGCCTGCACATGCTCCCTGCGGATGGCTTGAATGAGTTCATATTTAATACATGGAGCTGCTTTTAGCATCACCTTTTGGAAGAGAAAGGAATGGCTCAGGGGTGGGGACCTAAGAAGCTCCCCCCCCAAAAAAAACCCCAGTCTAATGAACGTTGAGTGCATTCCCATTGAATTCTCCCTCCACCTCTCCCACAATCCCTTTGAACATCTCCCCCCAGAGCTTGGGGCAGCCCCAGGCTACCTTTTGCCTGTTTGGTTTGTTTGAAAGGGTTTCTGAACCACTCAGTGTCTGAAATCTCTAAGCGATGTTCTTGGGTGCGGAGTGCCCAGCCCTTGCAAGAGAGGCCTGGCCCCCCGTGAGATCAGGCCCACGACCACCTTGCTCCACCCAGGGCCTGATCCCTTCTTCACTCCTTCCCGGCAGTTTTAAGGGCCTGACCCCCCACCCCACCGGGAGCAAACCCAGGGTGACCGGAACAGCCTCATCACGGGACCTGGGAGCAGGAAGGAGCTGTTTCCATGATGTCCCTGAAGATGCTCCCAGTCGTTTGGATGGGAGGCCATAGCCTTCCGGAGGCGGAATGGGGGACCAGTGACCCTCTCGCCCCAGATAGTAATAATAATAATAAATTTTATTTACATACCCCACCCTCCCCAGCCAAGCCCGGGCTCAGGGCGGCTAACACCAGGTATAACAACAATGGATTAAAATACAACTTACAGACAAGATTAAAACACAACATCAAAATGCAGCCTCATTTCAGTAGAAACTCAAATCAAAAACTTTTTGGGGATGAAAACGTCAAATCTTCACCAAGGCCAACTATCCATGTGACTGGGCTCCATCTCCCATCAGCTCCAGCCACCATGGCCAGTGGTCAGGGGTGGTGGGGCTGGGATTCTTATATTCTTATTGAAGCTCCTGCAGCCAATCGGAAGGCGCGCCGGACGTTCAGCTTCCGGAAACCGGAACAGCCACTTCCGGGTTTTGATCGTTTGGGAGCCGATTTGTTCAGGAGCCAAAGCGTTTGAAATCCAAGGTACGACTGTAACCCAAAGTTCTTCCTGATGTCTAATCCGAATCTCCTCACTGGATCCCTCTGGATCGAGCCAGCAGTTCTCATAGGTGTCCAACCAAATGCCCATTACGGGAAACTCGCAAACAGGATTTGAGCACGAGAGCCCTTTCCCCCTTGTGTGGTTCCCAGTGCCTGCTATTCAGAAGCGCTGCAGCCAAGACCGGGACAGTGACCGGTAGCCTTGCCTCTGCTCCAGAGCCACTGGCCCCCCTTCTGCCTCTGGCCAGTTTCCAGGGCTCTTCTCGGCCCTGAGGAGGTCTTGTCATAAAAGTCGTGCGCTCACTGGTGCTGAGCTCTGGAGGGAGGGCAGGGGTTCGCCTTGCCAACCCTCACCGATCCATATTCATTGCACACCATCCGCAGGTCGGGGCGGCTGCCCGCTGACACCTTTCCACCCCTCCCTGAAGCCTGTCAAAGGAGCAATATTCTCGGTGCCTCCTGGGGAAGCTGCCCTCCACCGCAAGGTCCACGAGATGCTCAATTGGACGCCGCAGGCACACCCCACTGGCTCTCCGGCAAAAGCCTCATTTCCATGGAAACCGGACAGGATGCGGGACAAGGGGCTGTGATTAATAGCCGAGGGAGGCTGCCTTGGGCCCTCTTCAATTTTTTAGGGGGCAGAGAGGGCCAGAGGCAGACATGCGGGTGGGAGAGGCAGGTGCCCATAAAGCTAATGAAAACCATTTTGCCTGTGAATTCCACAGGCAGCCTATTCCCTAGCACGTTTTTCCATCCTGCTTCACCCTCCTCTTTTTAGCAAAGCAACTAGCTCTCTTCCGAAGGTTTCCTTGCCCTCCCTCCCAGCAGCGACCCCCATGGCTCAAATTAATAAGGGTTTCTAAAAGGACAAGCACAGTCCTCGCCGCTGTCGCTGGTTAGTAGTGGGGGGTGGGGGTAGGATAGGCTGGTCGTCTAGCAATAAGGGGAGACCCCGACATTTGCCGTTTGAGCTAAAAGAGGGTTAAAAAGGTAAAGGGACCCCTGACCATTAGGTCCAGTTGTGGCCGACTCTGGGGTTCCAGTGCTCATCTCGCTTTATTGGCTGAGGGAGCTGGCGTACAGCCTCCGGGTCATGTGGCCAGCATGACAGCCGCTTCTGGCGAACCAGAGCAGCGCACGGAAACGCCGTTGTACCTTCCCGCCGGAGTGGTACCTATTTATCTACTTGCACTTTGATGTGTTTTAGAACTGCTAGGTTGGCAGGAGCAGGGACCGAGCAACGGGAGCTCACCCCGTCACGGGGATTTGAACCGCCGACCTTCTGATCAGCAAGCCCTAGGCTCTGTGGTTTAACCCACAGCCCCACCCACGTCCCAAAAAAGAGGGTTAGGGATGGGTATTTTTTCCCATCAGCCTTGACCCAGGGGTAGAAACTCAAATCTCTAAGCTAACCACCAAAAGGCACCTTAAACCAAGGTTATGGTTGCCGAAACAGAATGTCTAGATGCCCGTTTGTTTTCCATGAATTTATTGCTATCCTTGTCATTTTCAATATCGCTTTATATTTTAAAGGAAAGAATCTCCAGTATTCAGCTGGCCGAGCCAGCTTCCTCCCCCTGCCTAACGGCAGAGCCGGCCTTGCAGAGCTGGAGCAGAGGCATCCGCGTTTGCTTCTGATGTTCCCTAACCAAAGAGAGAGAGAAAGATTTGCAGTGCGTCTCCTTCCAAAGTCACATTTAAGCCCCATGAAAATATTCCGTATGGTTAGATCTGAAGGCAGGCAGAGGGATTTCAGTTTAATTGCTGTGCGTCCTCCCTCCTCCCGCTTTTCTCTTTTAGCTTTCAAAATGCTCACGAGTGTAGCGTTTTTATGCTAATTCTGCGGAAGCCGGCATGCCTTTGTCTTAAATTATTTATTTTAGTTAATCCCTTTTTTTGCCTAAAAAAGGGAGGGGAAGGGGGGGGCTCCTGAACTCCCATCTCTACACACTGAGAATGTTAAATTGGGCATTGCTAATTAGCCATTTGACAATTAAGGAACACAGAGCAAAAAAAATAAAACACCATTAGGACATAGGGGTTTGGCGTTTTTTTTGCTTTCTTTCTTTATGTATTTGTGAAGTTCTCCACCACCCCATGTGCTCCCTTTGAAGTAAAAGCTGCGCTCAGTTCTTGCCC